CCCCCAATCCCTCCCCCTTTATTTTATTTCTATCCCTGAGGGCAAACACTGCCTCCAATCCAGGATTCCTGTATAAAATCTCTATCTGAACCAAGACTGACAGAGAACAACATGAATCTATTCACAAACCATGCTGAGTAATCTAAACCACCATTATTTTTAACTTCAAAGAGGCACCCTAGGGTACCTGTCCTCAAAAGACTGAGCCAAAAATGCTGCTCACAAAAAAAAAAAAATATCAAACCCAATGTCCTACATAAATGAGAAGCAACTTGCAGAATCAATCTGGTTGAATTTACTCCCCAACTTTTGGTATTTAGCCTTATTAACCACCAAAAGCAGGGGCAATTGCTTTCCCTCTTGCTGTTCATGTGCAACAAGTCATCTAGCTCTCTCATTTTCTGCAATGAATAAAGAATTACGCACATCTCCGCAGGACCAGGTTCCTTAATACATGTTTATTTTCCTGTCTGAGCCTAAAAAAAATCCCAGCACATGGAGTTGTGCAACGAGCCACAGCACACAGCCAATACCCCAAGGACCACAGAGGCTTTCCTGTTCTGTGCTACAGGAAGGTCAGGGAAATCAATGGGAGGTGGAGGAGATGGGAGAGGACCCATTACACAAAAGCAAAGCAGGTGTGCGGCGCTCCGATTTGGACAGAAAAAGTGTACTTCTAAGCTGTAGAGAAATAAGTTTTAAAATAAACCCTGAAAGGAGGGAGGGTCTGAAACAAATAAATCAGCGCTATTATAGCCACTGAAACAAAAATCAGACATAATCGCTGGATAAATCAAGCCAGCTAAAAGAAAGCATTTATTTTAATGAGCAACTTTTGCAATTATCTGGATATTGTTAAGAGTTGCTGTGTTTTTACTTGGCCAGACCAAATAAGACTGAACAGCACAGGTTTACAGGGGGCTCTTTGTAGCTTCTCCCCTGCTATGGCTTTGCAGGGAGTCAAAATGCATCATGCAGAGTCTCCTGCCAAATCAAGGGAGGAGAGGAGGCAATACAGCCTACAAACACTGCCTGACCCAGCTATTTCTCTCGCAGCACTTAACCACTGTTCCTACTTCTGTGAGTTTCTATATGATAAAAATGTATGTTTAGCACAGGCAAGTGCAGGCAGTTTCTGCAGGTCACAGCTAGTCAGTGTCACAGCCATATATAATGCACACGTAAGCATCTGATGTGCCCATTTTCGGTAATCCTAAGTAGCACCCCAGGAAGTCCAGAGGTAAAAGAGACTCACAGGCTTTGCAGACCTGCTGTACAAGCACAGGTTTTAATGAAAAACCTGACTGGTTTTGTGGATGTGCTTGGAGGGCTTCCTGCTACGCAAGAGGGACCAGACTTTTCTGATATAGCCTCTGGTAATTCCAATAACCTCCTTCAGGTTAAAGCAAACTTACGTGAGCTGCAAAGCAAAGTCCAAATTGTCCCTTTGACACGTAATAACAGGATCAATTCCCGACTTGAGCTGCGAAAGGGGCAGCATTTCCATGCTGACCACACTCCACTGGCAGGGAGAGAGTTCCTTTTCTGAGCTCCATGGCCATGCGGACCTCACAAGGACTTTGCTCGTGCTCTTAACAGATATAACTGCAGGTTTAAGAGCCGACTGCACAAGCTGCAAGCTGCTGAACCCGCACAGCCAAGGAAGACCTCCTGGGGCAGCCAGGAAGCCACACTACCAGGATTCATTAATCCTTCAGAGCAAAGCAGCAGAAAGAAGAAAGCACCTTGTCCTGCACATCAGCCGGTTCTTCGTACCAGGAGACATTGTTTCAACCGCTGCTTGGCCACAGCATATTTCAGTCACGTTATTTCATTTCCACTGGTCCCTCAATACTCCATATGCTGGAAGAGGAGTATTTTTCTTACCTTCTGTGTGCATGGGGGAAATGAAGGCCAGCCAGGCTGCAAGGATACTGGATTCTACCAAAACCTGTACCAAATAAGCACCTAGCTAGACAAAACTCTGCAGAGGCAACCCTTGGCTAAATTGCTCCTCTCCCTTCCCCTAAAATTCATTACTCACTAGATGAGCTGGTGCACGCAGTTTAGCAGTGGACCAAGGTCTGATCTTGTGGGGACTAAAGCAGCTGCAGTGCTTTATTTGGAATTACAACCATGAAACAGGTCTACCTCTAAGCTTAATCTGTCTCCAGACTGGAGGGTCAGTCTCCTTCCCATACACCACTGCTTTCCTTTCCCAGTTAGATCACATTTTCCCATTGTGTTCAGCAAAAATGAGGTGAGCAACAGGCTAAACGAGGGCAGCTGGACCTCCCTGGAGCATGGAATGTCTTAAAGCTTTAATACACAAAAATTACTATGGCACATAGCTATAATAAAAATTTAGACTATGACACCTACCAAGGATCTGGCAAAAGCAAGCTCATTTGGCTTGACTGGTGGTTTTGGTGGGGGTTTTTTGGGTTAGTTTTGTTTGTTTTTAAGTAAGTGTAGAAATCTGTTTTCAAAACCTACCAGCTTGAGCCTTTGCGATACACAGATAACTTCTCCCAGGCACTCCCACACAACTACAAAGACTAAACACTTGCTTTCTTTAACAGCAGCTGTGCTCCTGGTGCAATCTCCTACTTCTAGCAGATGTGATTCTAGGAAAAATACTAAGTTTCCTTAAAGATTCATAATAAAAATCAAGTGGAGAAGCAGCAACACTAGGAGAGTTGAAGGCTGCTTCAAAAGCTAATGTATCTTCAGTTGCAACTATGTCACCATTGAAATTGCTACCAAGTACTTGAAAAGTGACTAGACTCTACAGGATACTGTTAATAGCAACAATAAAATAACATGCATCAAAAAGCTTACTTCAGCACATGGTCTGTATCTACACACTGCAGTGTTGCAAAGTGTGGCACATTATGACATTTCTGCTCCTTTCCTTGACGGGGGACTGTGCAGACAGATACACGGACCTTCCAAAATTTTCCCCTAAGAGGACATCCTGAGGCAACAAATGTGTATGACATTACCTCAAAAAGAACAGCTTGCATATCCCTGATCTCAATTAAAGCTCCCTCCTTTTCCAAATTCAAATCCTGAAGTGAGAGTTACTTAAAATATTTATACAAGGTAGACCTTTTAAAAAGATTAAGCAGAGTGTGACTGCAACATAGCTGATTGCAGAGCAGATAAGGGGGTTAGAGAAGTAAGTCTGGAAAGACTTTTTTCAGTACTTGTAAAATACTGCAAATATATTAGGCCAAGAAAGAGACAACTGGGCTAACCTCATGAATTTTTATGATGTCCCATGGAAACAAAGATTAAGAGGAGATTTCTGGAAATTCAAAAACCAACTGCCTGATTCACTTTTTATTTGTGGAAGTTAATTTAAGAAAAAAAAATCCTCCCTTTTGAGTCAGTAACCATTAATTTGGCATTCATGAGTGCACTTCCAGGTGCTGTTTGGAAACTGAGCTTGTAAATATAGAAAGGTTTCTCTAAATAACAAAAAAACCACAACTGAGGCTTATGCATAGGATATTTAGTTTTTTATTTACTCATCTACACATACAGACCCAGGAATCTTTTCAACTCTTCAGGCCTACTTATATTCTTGTAAGGACATTGGGATATACAGCATCTGTGCTTTATACCACAGGAAAAATACCTAGAGGTGTTCAAAAAGGAAAAATCTTCCATTAAGAAGTGGACACTGAGATCTTTACAGTGTGCCATGGCACCAATGCATTGCTCTGCCAGCACATCTGGCACTGGTTATTCTGATGCCCACAGACACAAGGGGAGCAAGTTTAATTCTTGGCTTTAAATCAATAGAGAAAAAATATTATTATAGACTCCGACCACAACAGGATTAGATCTTGAACTGAGTTGAGGATAAACTCAGCTCCCCATGTAGCTTTTACATCCCTGCCATAACCCATGCCTGCAAGCATGAAGCTCGTCAGAGTGAGGCTGCCATTTCTACAACCTTTCATCTATACAGAATATATGGAAAGCCAGATTTTAATTCAATGTGTAATATATATGTGCAGGGTTGGCTGCATTTTATATAACTATTGCCACCATTTTTATGACAATCAAACTGGAGTCCAAGACAATTCTGCAGCCCATTTCAGCTGGTGACTAAAACTCTGGAATAATGCATTCCTGAGAGCTGCTCTGTTGGAGGGCTCAGTCGTGCAGCATTTCTGTCTTGGGATGCTTTCTCACCTCACACGGTGCTCATGGCCTCTGGGAACTGACAGGAACACCCAGTGCCGTGCCGAAGTCAACGTTTCGAGACGGTACCAAAGCTCTGTTACAGTACAGCACTGAGGATGCCCCAGCCAAACCAAAGACGAAAAGTCACAGCAATGGCTGCTCACACAATGCAGTCAGGCCAAGCACACACACTGGAGGGTATTAACGCATCTAAACTCCAGCACTTATTTCAGGTATCAAATTAGGAAGCCAGGTTCTTTCAGTTCTCAGTATAGTTAATGGTAAGGGACAGAGGCTCTTCAAGGTGCTTAAAACTCAGCTTCTGTTCCAGTGTTATCAGCTCCCAGAATTTTATCATGGGCCTGAAAAGTATTTTTGAACAGCCCTGTTCATTTAAAGCTAACAGTTATGTCCCAGACCCTGTGTTTCAGAAGAAAACTTCCAGAAAAATCGTGTTGTACATTTACCCCAAAGGCTCAAGAAAAGAACAGGAATTTATAATTTTAAAAAAATTTAAATAACCTCATGGATTTTTTTGGTGAGGGGAGGAGTGAGGGGGCTGACTCATGTTTTGTTTTTTGGTTTTTTTTTAATACTTGTGGCTGGCTCTACTGCATAAATAAATCAATTCCCTAGCCACACAGCTCCATTTTTCCAGTCACAGCTTGTTGTTTTATTTATTTTTTTCCCCTCCATTGCTGACAAATCACTCCAGGGAGTTTTTAAACCCAGTAGTCTACTTTCCAAATGGAAACAGTTAGTATAATTTGTGAGAGAGAAAGCAAACAACAACAGAGACTTACCCCATTTTTTGGGTATGCTATCCATCCTAGATCCCCCATTACTGTGCGCGAGTCCAGTAAATTCACTGAAAATAAAAGAAAAAACTGTTAAGGAAGATGGATGGATTACAAACTTCAATAAATATTTCAAGGTTTGGGTGGCTATGGTAAACAGGCTGTTTATAATTAACCAAGGAAGTTGGATTTTCGTAAAGCAGAACAACAATGCAATAACTCCTCTAGGAGGTCATATACTGAAAACAATTCCATATATGCATTATTTTATTCCTTTGAGATCTGCCACTGCAACCAAGTTGAAAATGCACTAAACTTCAGTAAGATCCAGATCCTTCATGTTCTTAGGATCTGGTCTTTTGCAGGGAATAAATACATAATGCACACTGTGTGTTTATGTGTATATGTAAAACATACAGTACAGAGATATACACATATACTCACAAACATCTATGTGTGTTTATACACACATTTCTTCTAAGGTGGCATATGTTTTTAGCATAATCAGGCCTTTAAGACAAAAACGAAACAAGAAACAACGTGCAGAGTTTCCTGATTATTGTCAATTCAATTTTTAAACTATTTTATGTACAAGTATTACAGTATTACTGTTTTCAGGAATCTGTTCTTTTCTCCCTCTCCCACATTTTTCCCCAAGTCTTTGACAACTTCATTGTAAGATATCCAAGGGATTTTTTTTTCCTCACACAAAAATTCGGAGTAGCTTTGTTAAGTCACATAAGCAATCAAAAATTTACATTAAACAGCAAAAAAATATTTTCAAGCTTATAACATTTTTTTCCCCCTTATATTACCCAAAATACCGAGTAAAACGTGTGAAGTAGTTAAATCTACACACACTTAACTCAGCTAAGGAAAATTATAGCAGCTTCTGGTGCTGAGCTTTCACCTCCTGTACCCAGGGCTTTAAATCCCCAAGTTAAAAGCTTGTCTCTGAATCAACAGCTGTCATCCAAAAATCTCAACCTAGGAGGAACTTTCTTCTACTTTAAAAGCACACGATTTCTTCTTTTTGGATTACACCACTCACTTCTCACAGTATATTTGTCTGCTTAATACCTCATTTTTTGTACTCATGTCCCTCCTGAAAAGGAAGAGCTTTCCCTGGGTCTTCAATTCCTGATCTCCACCCTATGTCCTCTTGAAAAATCCCATTGGAAGTTTTCACAATCAGACTTTCAAGATTTTCCAGCCCACGATGATCTAGCCCAAGAACAAACTTGAAAAGAGTGGAGGCAGCTTTGCACTCACTCCTTTAGTACCAACCATGTAGGTACTTCAAGATTGCTAAAGAGAAACAAACAGGTTGCATGCACAAGTATAAATGATGTGAGTACCATAACCCTCACCCCTAGTACTTGTATCAGGCTGATTTGCTGTCTCTGCGCAGCCAAATATATCAGTGCAAACACTTATGAGGCATACAGACCTTTCCTTACACTGGCCCAGGTCACCCCGCCACAAGGCACCGCAGACAAAATTAAAAATGCTGCCAATTGAGTACCTCAGACATCAGGATTACACTATTTACAGAGGCATAGCAAGAAAACCCAGAAGTACACTATACTAAAAGGCATGCTCCTTTAAAATCTTAAGGAATATTTAAAAAGCAAATTAAGATTAAACAACAGATAAGTTCTCTGAGTCAGTTTGGTCTTAATCATTGTACTGTACTGAAGGCTGACAATTGTAGTCCCTTGTACACAAAAACAGCCCAAAACACAAAAATACAACGCTGAGGTAGAAAAAAATCAGTTCTCAGCTCTGGCATCAAACACTTATCTTAAAAAAAGATTTGTCTATCCAGATATTTTCACAATGTATGGAAGTATTAATGCAGCACACTATCATAAGGCATATAGATGTTCTGCCTGGTCAAGTATATTTTTGTGATGTTGAGCAAAAACATTCGGTAGCTCAGGGTTTTCGTGCCCAGATTGCTTTCTCCTGCCAAAACAGAAAACAGCTGGGAGCTGGCAATGCTACCGAACTACAGGACATTTGGTGGAAGCAATTCTCAGAGACTACACTGAACTACATCCACAGTAAGTAAACATACAATTAGGTGGCTTTCCACCCCACCGCCTAAGCAAAACAGAAGTATTGCTATCATCTACCATTAGATATGTCACCCAGTGATGGCCAGACTTTCCCCTCCTGAAGTCTGCAGGTAAAATGCTCATTAAGGTCTCCTGTTCCAGCTGACGTCAAGCACCAGTACCCAAGTGCTCCTGAACCACACTGCATTTTCTTTTTAATGGGATAAAAAGGGTGATCTTAAAATATACTTCAAAATAGGACACATAAATAATACGTCCCATATTATAAGTGTATACAACTTTAAAAAAGCAAGAGAAGGAGTGTAGTTGCCAAAATGGCAGGTTTACCCAAATTCCTTCTATTACAATCACTGTAATTAAACTGTGCAGAACAGTATATTCCTGTCTTGAGTTGCAATGGATGCAAAACAAGTATTGATCTACATTGTACAGCTTAATTAAAACTTGTCCTGGAGATGCTACTAATGAATGTAATTAGATAATATGTTTGATGCCACAAACTTCTTCATGACATGCTAATTAAGGAAAAAAGCAGAAAAAGTGCTTTTATTCAAACATCAGATCATAAAAAGAACATGATACGACTAAATATTGTATTATCTTTCTATCAGTGACAACTTTTAAATTGCTGTTATTAACTTCAATTTCAAAATAATTTTCTGCATATGAAAAGATAATACAACCCATTCAACTCTAATTCAAGTCAGTGGGAATTTTCCTACCGGTGAGTCAGCCAGAGCTGAATACTAAATCTCCAGTTAGAAGACTCGATTTCTCCGTTATTTTAGTAGAATTCTGCATAGAGCAAAATAAATAGGAGAGGACAGGATACACCTTTAGACAGGTGCTGCACAGTAACCCAAAATTCACATGCTAGGAAGACGAAAGCCACAAGTCACTTTAAGCTCCCCCTGTGCCTGGGCTGCTCTGGAGACCAGAGAGGCTCCCAGCACAGCTCAGACAGCTCTGAGGGGCTGCTAAGGCACAGCAGACTCTCCGGCTGCCCCATGGGCTTCTGCCCAGGACTGCTTTCACAGTATATCTTCTAAATACTGCACTACATCGATCTGCTCTGAGGAATATATTTAGCCAGTACTTATTCTAAATATTACCTGCAAGGACCAAAACGTTTTGCTTTGAGAATCCCCAAAATTCTGGTATAAGCACAAATTACCACTGCTCCATCTAGATACAAGGTATCTGCATCTTCCCCATCACCACCCTACCCACTCATTTCCAGTACATCTGTCCTTTACTTGCATCATTGCCGGGTCCCAACCCCACCCTGATTCAGCCTCAAACCCAGCCAGAGCTCCAGCATCCCCTCCTGGTTCCTCCGATCGCCCAGCTGCAGGAGCTCCCCACACAGGGTGACAGTGCTGCCAACACTTTCGGGACACTCTCTCAGACAGCCTTCCCATCCCACACTGCTGGAGAGGCCACCAGCGCACAGTCCCACTAGACAAGTCCATACGGGCTCAGCACCACCTGTCTGCCCACCACCTTCCAGCCTGGCAGGAACATTATTTTTGCTGAAATGGCTTTCATCAAAAAACTGCAGATTGGCCAGGTTGGGGAAGAAACAGTGGGCAAACAGCAGGTAAAGTACGTACCTGCAACACGGAGGAAACCATTTTAGCAGAGACTTTAGAGAAGGACTGCCATCATCCCAAACAGATGTTTCCATAACTCACCACATGGCTACTCGGGAATAGATGAAGCTTTTTTGCACCTGAAAAAAAACCCTGAAACTGTCTCTGGTTCGACCCACAGCAAGACAGAGAAAGAGACCAGAGGTCTTCTCCAGAGCAGCAGAACCAGTTCCTCCCCATCCAACCTGTGACGACCATCAGCATGCATTTGGCCATGGCTGTCTAATAACCAACTAACCCAAGCAGTCAGGTAACCGAGGGAGGTAATTCAGGAAAACCTCCAACTATGGTGCTTAAGGCTTCCATACTCCAGGAGGTCTAGTGCCAGCTCCTGTATACCTTGGGACTCCTGGACCAGCCCAAATGCTGTAGATACTCCACGAGCATAACCCAGAGCTGTTCTCAGCAGCCCTTGGGATGCAGGAGAGCTTACCCCACTGAAGAAATCTCTCCAGAAATCGCTAGCAACTCTGCTTGACCCATAACCTTAAAAGCCTCCAAAATAACAAAACTCATTTATTCCCACTTCCTTTCTCCTCAGCACCAGCTATAGCTATGTCTCAACGAACAAGCAAGAAACCTCAGAGCCCACAAGCACACTCTTAGCACCAGTATCTTTGCCAGCAAACTTGGAAGAGGCACACATACACATTCAAAAATGCTCATCTCCACCATCAGTGCATCCATTCCACAAGCCCTAATTATTTCTAACGCTCAGTCAAGGGGAACACAAAACCGCACAGATCTATATCATTAACTTCCATGCCTTCAGGGTAGGATAAATGATGATTAAGTCTAAAGTCATACCACAGCCTTTTTTTTTCTTCTTCTTTTTTTAATACAGAATAATAGCCCAGGGAATTTGCATACACTCTTGTTCTCAGACAGGCTAGTTACTATGGGTGAGCAATCAAGTTAGAATAAAACCAGAAGTGATCTAAACCTTTGCCCTGAACTCTAGCTAGTGAATTAATAGTGTTTTTTCACTCAGGAATCTCTGACAGGGAGACTGGGTATGGCTTTTTACTCAAGTGTCCCTGTCACATTCATACAGCCAGCATTTAGCAGCTTCACTATGGCTACACAAGGATTGTGGCTGGAAGGAAGCACAAGAAACGCTAGGGTTGATGGCATTCAACATTGACCTAAACCAACATTGCTGCCCACACAGCAGAGCACCCCATCTGACACAGCCACCTAAAACAGTGCCATGTGGCAGCATTAGCTTGCCCAGGCAAAAGCAGGACAGGTCTGTCATGATGGTACAATGTCTGAAGCAAAAACCACCAATCAATGGATTTTTTTTGGTCACACCACAGAAGTGAGATTGCTC